TGTGTGTGTGTGTGTGTGTGTGTGTGTGTGTGTGTGTGTGTGTGTGTGTGTGTGTGTGTGTGTGTGTGTGTGTGTGTGTGTGTACACTTTCCATCTGTCTTCTAAAACTGTGAGAAAGACATAATCCGAGGAAATCAATTACTGGTACCTTAATTAACAGTTCATTACCAGAGTTTCATGCAACTGCAAACAAGCAGAGACAATCTGGTACTTTAGGACAGAATGTCCCTAAACATACCTTGAAATTACCTGAAGCAACTGGCCCATCTGTGTGCCATATTTTTGCCATTTTGCCGGAACATTAATTTCCCCACATATACACATCCTTGGGGATAGGCCTACTCCTATGTGTGACTATAAAAGACTAAAGAACTAAATGTTTGGAACATCCAGAATTCTGCTCTAAAGACAATTTATAATCCACTAAATTGGCATGCTTTACTGGAAATCCTTTATGCAATACCTTACTTTGACACAGGTCAAGACTCAAAGACTCACGAGTCTAGACTTTTGAGATCTGAGAGTACCCTAGACACATAGACCGTCATGAATCTAGTCTCAAAGACTCTCCCACCCAGTCCCAGAGACTCACAGACTCTGCACTCTCAGCCTTTAAAGACCTTCTTGGATACTTACGGTCCTGGATTTTCTCCTTGACCTCATACACCCTGAGGTTGTTGTAGACAGTCACTTGGAATCCCAGGTTAGTGAAGAGTGCTTGTGCCTGGTCACGGTCACGGTCTGTGCCGTTCCTCTCCTATGGTGGGGGTCGAAAGTCATTTAACTACTACAGAAATGCATGACAATATCAATACAAAGATGAACATATGATTAGAGAAATGTAAGATTGAATCACCTGTACCTGCAATGGGCAAGCATAAAAAAATTTCTTCCATCTCAGACAAATGTTCTTACCCCAAGCCCTGTGTGCTGGTCAAAGTGGCGGTGGTTGAAGATGACACAGTGACCACGCTGCTTGTGGCTCATGTTGTAGCGTGCGGCGTCACGGTCTACAGACATTCTCGCAAAGCCTTGGGGCATGCCACCCACACCCCTGAAAAGTGAAGAAAAAATAAGAAGATACATAATGCATTTCTTCATCTCTGTAAACTGTAGAGTTTGACTAAGCTATTTGAATATTTAGTTAAGGCTTCCCAAATGGAAAAATGCCAATAGCAAAAGTGAGACTGTTAATGATGACAAGACTGATGAAGATCATGAGGAGGAGGATAGGATATCAATAAAGATTATGATAGGGGCATAAACAAAGTAATAGCAATGGTAATTAACACCAATCAAGTTTATGATAGGGGCATAAACAAAGTAATAGCAATGGTAATTAACGTCAATAAGAACACCAGCCAAAATCAACTGATCACTCACGCCTGCCCAAGTCCCCCAGCATCGGTCTCATTGCTGCCATTGTCGCTCACTTGACCGTTGGTCCCCCTTGGCTCCTCATGCTGACCCCCACCGTTGACAGTTTCCTCCATTGTAGCTTCTTCTTGCCGTCTGTGAAAATGAGAATGTTGTAGGAAATTCATTACACAAGAAGGTATTTGTAACTGCAATGTCATCAATATTCTTTGCAGACTATATATCACATGAAAGCAAAATTATATATGTTTTCTAAACTCTACACACCTATCAAGTACAATCTTTGAATCTGTACAATTTAGCACTTGTACACAAAATCATCTCTTGTGTTATTTTCCCTTGTAGTTTCCTCTAAAAGATCTTTCATTTTAATATTAGTATGAAACAAGAAAAAAAACAATCAAAATGTAATTAATCATAACAAGACAGATCCAAGCATGCAGAGCTCCTCAATTCATAATCAAAATACCAAAAAAAAGTTAAAAACCAAGGAATTCAGACAGTAGACCGAAGCAAAGAGAAATTTGGTGTTTTGCTGTATAAGGGCATGTGGGTTAAGCTTTATAATATGGACATATTAAGGTTTATCTTGCTGTATATACTTAGGTAAAGACTGTTTGGAAGGGGGTATTGATAGGCAGAGTGCTCAATATGGAGAACAGAGTAGCGGTTTACTTTCGAAATACTTTTGATAGTTATCTGCAGGAAATCCACTGATTTCTACAATTCTCGGCCTTGCTTCTTGTGCAAATGATTCGTTGAGGATATTTGAGTACCATTTCCAATTTGTTAGTCACAATAGCAGGGGAGGGCATGAAGTATATCACGAAAATTATGAGGTAAAACATGCTTAACCCATACATGCTTAATTTGGTCTACAAAATGTACCCCGGCGTGACTGGGTTAAATAAGAAAAGCGCAGAAAAAAGCAAAAAAATGGCCAAAAAAACGCTAAAAATTGGCTAATGAAACTCTACCTAACCTAACCTAGCAATTTAAGGTGCCATGACTAGGCGTTACTGCCCAAGGGGAGGGTTGATGGGGGGCTCTGCCCCCAACACCCCCCGGGACACATTCTCTTCACTTCAGTATGTATGGCAAGATAGAGTTACATACTGTAACC